TCAGGCCCAAGAGCACAAACAATGTAGAATGAAGAAAGAAAAACAAGAAGGATGGGACTGCATGGGCTGGAGTTGGACAATTTAACTGCAATATGCAAATGGAGCAGAACTGATCAAAGTGAGACCCCGTGGCCAGGTGTCCATTTTGTGACCATTTTGAGTTTTCTCTTGGGTGTAGGCCTGGCTGGGCTTTTGTGCTGCCCAAGGTGGATCCATTGAGGCCTTTTAATAAATCCCTGCTTTATTCTTTAGCTCTGTCCAGTCTCAGTTCTAGCTCAGCCCTCATAAGGCATCACCACCAGGACTGGGTTTGGATCCCAGCTCCACCACGATCTCCTTTTCCATGGTGGGATGGGGGGACTCTCCCAGGGGGCTGCAAAGCTCACAGAGCTCTGGAGCACAATCTCAACCCCTGCTTCCACCTGGACTCTTCTGAAGCTACAACACACAACCCCAGTGGGGGTGAGCTCCACCAAGGCTGGGGTGGCACCAGACCTGCACCAGACCCCAGACCCTCCTGGGGGGTTCTGGAGGACAATTCCTCACTGCAACCAAAAGCAGATGCTCTCCAAGAGCTGGGTCAGGTGTCTTGGCCCAGGCCAAGCTGGGCCATGGAGCAATTTTGGGAGAGGCCCCTGGAGTCAGAGTTGGTGCCAGTGTCATGAAGGACCACCATGAGTGGGAGCACCAAGGAGAGGTGACATGTCCCAGCACTACAGCCCAGGCTTCCCTGAGGAACCTCCCCTTGCCATCACCAATCCCGGACACCGGTGGGAAGCAGGACCTGCCCTGCCAGTGCCCCCAGCCCTCACCTGCTGGGTGCTGGCTCTGCCGAGGGTGGCACGGACCGTGTGCACGGTGAGCGAGGGCAGGGTGTTGACCACCAGGGACAGCAGGACCACGAGCAGCACATAGGGGTCAGTCAGGGCATTCCAGCTGGCGTCTGTCAACACAGGGGAGATGTTTGGGTAGGTGTTCCAGATTGCAAGGCAAGATGTACTCTATTACCATCTCTATGGCAGTTGTCTTTTGTCAAGTGGGCAGTTTTTCCTTATCTCTTCCACAATCACTCCTCCCTCAGGGCAAACATCTGCTGATAACAGCTATTGAATGTC